TCCGGGAGGGCAGGGTCCGTGGGGCCCTCTTCTTGCCGCCCGGTGAGAAACGGGGCGTGGGAATCCCCGGGATGCCCGGCATTGCCCCTCGCCCCCACCGGGGACACCCCGGGACATTTGGGGCGTGAAATGGCACCGGGGGGCTCCTCTCTCTCCATCGGTGACAGTTTCTCTGGCTGCCTGCAGGACCGGGATCCTTCCCAGGGGTGATAGACCTGTTTGGGGGTGCGGGCGGCCTCATTGAGTTTCGAGCAGGGCTGTTGGCCAGCCGGGGCTTTGCGGTGCTGGCTCTGGCCTTCTTCGCCTACGACGACCTGCCCCCCTTCCTCGTCGACCTGGAGTATTTCGAGGAGGCGGCTGAGCTACTCCTCCGGCACCCCAAGGTGAGCTCTGCGGCACCCCTGAGTGGGAACGTCCTGCTGAGCAGGGGTGTCCTGGGGACATCCTGGGGAGTGGAATGTCCTGGGGACCAGGGACGTCCTGATAAGCAAGATGTCCTGGTGACTGGGGACGTGCTGGTAAGCAGGACGTCCTGGCGACCAGGGATGTCCCAGTGAGCAAGTTGTCTTAGTAACTGGGGACATCCCGGCAAAGTCCTGGCGAGTGGTGCCACCAGCTGGCTCCGTTTCCTCCCGTTGCAGGTGCGAGGCCCCGGCTTGGGCGTCATCGGTGTCTCCAAAGGAGCAGAGGTGGCCCTGGCCATGGCCAGCCTCCTGCCCCAAGTGGTGGCCACGGTGTGGATCAACGGCACGGCTTCCATCTACGGCAATGCATTGGTCTACAAGGACCTCCACATCCCCCCAATCCCTTACTCCGCTGAGCGCTTGGTCTTCACAGAGTTGGGGGCCATGGACAACTCGGCCCTCTTCACCGACCCCCGGGACCCCGCGTACAGCACCTCGGCCATCCCGGCCGAGAAGATCCGGGGGAAGGTCCTCTTCGTGGTGGGGGAGGCTGACCGCAACTTCAACAGCAAGCTCTTCGCCGAGCTGGCCATGGCACGGATGCCACCGAAGAGCTGCCGCCTCCTCTCCTACCCTGGGGCCGGGCATTTGATTGAGCCCCCCAGCTCACCCCTCTGCAGCATCTCCAGCATCCGCGTCAGCCCCCGGCTGGTGATGTGGGGTGGTGAAGCCCAAGCCCACGCCAAAGCCCAGGAGCACTCATGGAAGGAGATTGTTCAGTTCCTGGAGCTCCACCTGGGTCTCGCTGCCACTGCAAAGCTGTGATGGCTGTGGGGTGGGGGGGGCAAGGGGCTGCCCCCGGGCTCCTCCACCCACAATAAAGTGCACTGTGCCAGCCAGCGCTGCCTGCTCCTGCCTATGCTCATGGGATGGGGGCACCCGGTCACCATCCCATGGGAGGCCTCCGATGCATATATAGGTATGGCCATGGCTTTGGGGGGGGTGCATGCAGGCATCACCATAGCTGATATCACCTTTTAATGAGGCTGTTAAGGTTTTTTTTTTGGGGGGGAGGGGGGCTGGGGTGCAAACTGCCTGGCACTGTGCACCCCTTTGCTGTCAGCCCATCGTTCCCCGTTCGCCTTCCTGTGGGGACCCCGGCGAGACGAGCATCCCAGGGCTGGGGGGTGCCTGGCACAGCTGGCGGGACCACAACCATCCTTGCTGTAGGATGAGTGCAGCACACAGCCAGACACAAGAGTGGGGTGCTGGGGAGCACCTCAGAGCAAGAGGAAGGTGACGGCGAGGCTGAGGGGTGGCCTGGGGACCCCCGACCCAGCGCCGTGCTTAGGGCAGTGGTCTTGGTTCCCCATTTGCAGGAAGAGTTTCTCCCAACTCCTCAGCTCCGTGCTCTTTGAAGGACATTCGGTTGCCACCACTGTCCCCACTGGCTTGTGGCAAACCCCAAGGCTGTGTGCCAAGGAGGAAGGTGGGCACCCAGTAGCCCCCTTCATGTTCAGTTGGGCATCCGGCTAGTGCGTCTCCATTCCCCATTTACACGGATAATCTCTCCCGCCACAGGACAAAGCGTTTCTTTGACTAGCTTTGGGCTCCTCCCCGGTCACCCTGGCACGGCCACAGGAGGTGACCGCGGTGCTGGGGGCAAGCGAGGTCGCTGGTGGCAGGGGAGCGAGGAGCCCTGGGCAGAGCTCATCCCCTCGCCACGCGGCAAGAGGCACCGTCCTGGCACGGCCCCATCGGTCATCTGATCCGCACCGCGTTCCAGCCAGCCGGGTATAAATCTGTGGCCCCAGTGCCAACCCACGGAGAAACCCGTGCTCCAGCCTCGCTCGCCACCATGGGACAGAGCTGCTCCTTCCTCTTGCTGCTGCTCCTCTTGTCCCTGATGCCGGGAGCCGCCTTCTCACTCCTGCGATACCGCTACGACTGCGGGGACTACAGCATGCAGCTGCTGGTGTACCCCACCCGTGGCCGCACCGTCCGCTTCAAAGTCATGGGTGAGTGCGGGGGGCAGGTGGGCACGAGCCCCCTCCGGCTTCTCCTTGGGGTGGCGTGTGTTGGATTGCACCGGGGTTACCCCAAAACCCGAGCGCCCCAGGGTGCTGGTGCCCTGATGGGATGAGCCCAATGGATTTCCATGAGGGGTCATGCTGCTGGGGAGGGTTTCTGTGTGCTCGTGTTCCCAGGGAGCATCATGGCATCCGGTTGTGCCGCCTCACTCCCCACCTTGTGCCCACGGTGTCCCCGCAGATGAGTTCGGCACCCGCTTTGACGTGGCCAACTGCTCCATCTGCCTCCACTGGCTCAATGCCGGGGCAGATGGTGCCATCATCTTCTCCTCTGGCTATGAGGGCTGTCATGTCCTGGTGAAGGTGAGGCTCCTATCCCACTTGTGGCACTGCTGGCATCGGTAAACTGGGAGGTGACTGTCCCTCCTGCCCCACCGCAGGAGGACCGCTACGTCCTGAGGGTGCAGCTGGAAGAGGTGCTGCTCAGTGGGGTCCTGGCTGCCTCCTACGAAGTCAACATGACCTGCCCGCAGGACTACGAGATCCACACCGACGGCAACACGCGCACCGAGCAACGGGCCGGCCGGGGCAACAATGTCCACCAGACCCAGGCTGATGTTCTCGTCCCCCTTTCCCAGCCTGGCCTCCTGCACCACGTGTCCCAGTCCTCCCTTACCCTCTCGGGACCCCAGCTCTCTCCCCAAGCCCACTCGGAGCCGGTTCACCCTGTGGCTCCGACCCACCCA